GGGACACCCGCCGGGGCCCCGGGCCCGGGGGTCGAAAACCCTGGCTACTACGACAGTTATTCCAGGTTTGGAACCTTGGCTGCAGTTTGTTTTCAGGTCCGGAAACGTTGCGGCATTCTATATCAGGTTCGGGACAGGTACAGAATAATCATGGCATGGTTGTACGGGTTTGGCGTCCACGTGGCACAGCAGCCCGGTACTGGATTTCGGGTTTGGTCAGGTTCGGTGGCATCGCGGTGTTTCGTTTCAGGTTCGACGCCCTCACGACGATTTATTTCAGGTTCGCAGCAGCAAGAAGGGAAGACGCTAACTGATCTCGTGACTGCTCCCGATAAGGGAGGAAGACACTAGCAGATTGAAAGAGCGAGAGTATAAAGAGAGCAGAGTGCGCGCTTGGCTGGAATAGCGGGCAAGTGCAATCGCTTGCGAGAGAACGCGTGTGAGAATGTGATCGGGGAACAGGGAAGAGCGATTTGTGAGAGAGAAAAAGAAAGAGGGAGCAAGCCAGAGAAAAGAAGGGGAACTAGCCGATGCATGACGAAGGGATATGAGGGAATGATGGCATGCGAGAGCGGGGAATCTGCATCTTGGCTTTCGAAGATGGATGTATCGGGCTCGAAAAATGACCAGATACTTTCATATTTGGGTTGGTGTTAATACTGCGTTTGGCGCCGCGTGATTTCCTACCCTGTGCTTCGCAAACACTCGCATATTGTGACGGGGAGGCGCGCAATCGTCGAGTGAACGTTCACGAGGAGTTCACGAGGAGGGATGTGGCGTTGGCCACCATCTCTCAGGTCAGAGATCGCTCATTGGTCGGAGAAAAAAAAAAAAAAAAAAAGTCAAGCGGTGAGAGGCGATAACTCCCAAAGTATCGGTCTGCCCCTGACGCAGGTTACGAGGTCCAACACGCTAATGGTCCTATGGCAGACTGCACATTCTGTTGACTGGGCAAGAAAGATTCGTAATCATGGTGAGAGCTAACTGATCTTCTCTTTCGAGAGAAAGCAGGTTAGTCATCATCAGCAGACCTTTTTGAAAACTGGCAATGAAGAGATACTTCAGAGGTATTAATTAAGGCGGTGAGGCTGTGCACATCCCTTTGTGTCTTAGTTCCAAGAGCGTCGAACGTTTTGCACGAATATTCCGTTCACCAGCCGATTGGACAATTAGTCTTCAAACGCGAATCTGCAGTTACTCATTGCCTGTCGACAGAGAGGTGGACAAATTAGACCGTATAAAAAAAGAGTGAAGGGACGAGGGGTCGGTCGAGATATTCTTTTATATAATTGCGCCTTTTTTTTTTTTTTTAATTATACTGAGTGGGTTATAAGCATCGAACTGTGAGTTTAGAGGAAGTTATTTTTCAGTACTAAGCAGGCTAACTCGCTTTGAACAACAGCTTGGTGTCATTTCAGAACCAGAAGGTGGACTCTTGCTTTCTTCTCGCCTAGGCAACTTGCATAGGAGCTTGTAACTATTGCTCGGGTTCAAACGCCCCGGGTTGCGCGAAGGGTAATACTTGGAAACGAATGCGCGGGTTGCCTTCCTGACGTGAATGGTGCAGGTGAACAAGGGCGCTGATCAGTCCGGTGCGAGCTCGTATATCGGTTCGTTAAACCCGGGCTTAAAGGGGAGCTGCGCCGCTCCACCCCGGCCAGCACTGTTTGAAGTATTACGTGACTGATGAGAACGAAAAGGGCGAGAGAGTAAGAGAGAGTACAGTGAGCCAGAGGGGGAGAGAGCAACGAGCGAAAATGGGGAGTAGGAGATCGAACAGGGACAGAGACAAAGTGAACATTTGATTATTATCCTTTATCATTTGACTGTTCATGTCGGCGAAGGCCTTTGCTGATTTAAGGGAGCTCCTAACCAAGCACCAGTATGTTCTAATTTGATGATCCATTGTTGCTATTCGAAATACCGCAATTCTGAACCTGCTGGCTCTAATCCGTTCAACCCCTGTTGCAGTTCAAAAGGGTTCCATTCCGAAAACTTTAAGACTCTATGAGGTGTCATTCTAATTAGAGCGGCCTCTTATCTCACTGGTTCAGACAAAAATTTAAAAAACCCCGCGGGACCGGAAAACAGTGGGCAGTGCAACAAATAGAGAGTGAACTAAAAGGGTTGAAATGCTTTCGTTGGACCGCTGCTCTTAGTCTTCGCTTTGGTAAAGTGACTATTCAGGTGCATGCTTTTTCCGAGGTTCCGATTAATGTGAGGGCTCAATTTTTGTGCGAGTTGTATCTTGCTTGGGTCGTGAGAAGTCGTTGACCCACCGAACGTTGTTTCTCCACTTGGGATCATGAGAAGGCACCTTTCGCCTGAATGATGTTCAGCCTTGAGTCCTTAGATGAAACTGTTTCTACGCGAGCTAACTCCTGCCCTGTGGCTATGTGCTGAGTCTGTTTGACTTAGGGCTATTTCCTGCGCTAAGATTATAAGTGAGGGTTTCATTCTCCATTTTATTTCTACATCGAAACAAAGAAACTAGCTGGTAAGGTTCAACTGTCACACTGGGATTAGTTACTCCTACCGTTACAGGAAACCCCTGTTGTTCGCCGAGGACCTCGGAAGCGGGCGCGGTGAGTGACAGGCGCCGTGACCCTTGGCTTCAGCGAACGGTAGGCGACCCCTCCCCGGGTTTCCTTACAACGGTACGACGACATCGACGCATTATTGCTATACGTACGCATTCAGATCGAAGAGGCGACCTGCAGTGCCTTGACCGATTGCGGAGCAACTCGCAACTACATCAGCCAGGACTTCAGGGTACGCACCGGCCTTGGCCCACGTGTCCGGAGGAAGTCCCAGCCTACGCAAGTCACGTTGGCAGACGGTCATACGCACAAGTCAATCGACTAGTGCAATGACGCCGTCCCCGTGTACTTTGCCCCTCACGCAAGTGAGGCGGTGTCCTTTGATATTCTCGACACCAAATTTAACATGATCTTGGGCATGTAATGGCTGCGAAGCGAGGATCACCCGGTGAACTTCTTCAAACGCACCGTTCACATTCGTGATCGGAACGGAGTATTAGTTCCATGCACGGTGCCCCTTCCTCATCCTTCGATCAGCTGCCACGTGGTATCCGCYGCAAGCATGCGAGTTTCCATCATCAGAGACGACATCGAGGAGATGGGGGTGTGTTTTCTCCACGCCCTCCCACCCCATGACGCTTCATCGACGGACTCACCTTCGGATCCACACATCAATAAGCTTCTCGACGCCTATAGCGACGTGTTCGAAGGCCCGCACGGAGTAGTACCGGATCGACCCATCCGCCACGAGATTATCCTCGAGGACGGGGCCGTACCTCCGTGCGGTTGCATCTACCGAATGAGCAAGGAAGAGTTAAGTGTGCTCCGCGCACAACTCCACGACCTTCTGGAGAAAGACTGGATTCGGCCTAGCTCATCGCCATATGGTGCTCCTGTTCTCTTCGTCCGGAAGAAGAACAAGGACCTGCGGTTGTGCATCGATTATCGCAAGCTCAACGCGCAGACGATCAGGAACGCCGGCCCTCTCCCACGCATCGATGATCTTCTCGAGCGATTGGGCGGCGCCCAGTTTTTCTCTAAGCTGGATCTCAAGTCAGGGTACCACCAACTCGAGATTCGCAAGGAGGATCGTTACAAGACCACGTTCAAGACACGGTATGGGCATTTCGAATGGYTGGTTATGCCATTTGGCCTTACGAATGCCCCGGCCACTTTCCAAGCGGCTATGATAACGGAGTTCCGATACATGCTGGATTGATACGTACTTATCTATCTCGACGGCATCCTGGTGTACAGTCGGACTTTGGAGGAGCATGTGGAACACCTCCACACCGTTTTGGAGCGGCTACGACAGGCCAAGTACAAAGCCAACCGCGACAAGTGTGAATTCGCACGGCAGGAGCTGGAGTACTTGGGCAATTATGTGACGCCGCAAGGCATCCGTCCGCTCGCGGACAAGATCGAGGCCCTACGAGTATGGCCCGAGCCCACCAACACCACGGACGTTCGTTCATTCATGGGATTGGCRGGCTACTATCAGCGATTCATCACCGGATACTCCAGGATTGCTGCACCTATGACGAGGTTACAGTCGCCAAAGGTGCCATTCGTATTCGATGNTGCACCTATGACGAGGTTACAGTCGCCAAAGGTGCCATTCGTATTCGATGACGACGCACGCCGGTCATTCCAAGCACTTAAGACGGCCATGCTCATGGCACCTGTCCTCAGCATCTATGACCCCACCTTGCCGACGAGAGTGACTACGGACGCTTCCGACTATGGCATTTGGGCAGTCTTGGAACAGCACGACGGCGACGACTGGCACCCTGTGGAGTATTTCAGCCACAAAGTGTCTCCCATCAACTCACTTGATGATGCAAGGAAGAAGGAGCTACTCGCGTTTGTCATGGCTCTCAAGCGATAGCGGCACTTCCTCCTTGGGCGTCGTAGGTTCACATGGGTTACGGACAACAGTCCATTGACCTACTACAAGACGCAGGATACGGTGAGCAGCACGATTGGACGATGGATGTACTTCATCGACCAGTTTGACTTCACACCGAAACATCTACCCGGCCTCTCAAATCGCGCAGCAGATGCACTCTCGCGAAGACCAGATCTTTGTGCTATGACACATCATGCCTTCACATTCGACGAGGAGTTTCAGCGACACTTCATCTGGGCATATCAGTCTGATCCGGACTTCGACACGCTCTATGCACAGCTATCTTCGGATCACCCACCGACCAGCCATTACCGCATTGCCGACGGGTACTTGCTCCTCCACTCGAGAGGCAAGGACTTACTATGTGTCCCACGCGACCATCGTCTTCGGACTCGCCTCCTCGACGAGTATCATGATTTACGACTCGCCGGCCATTTCGGAGTCAACCGCACTATTGCACRGCTTCGACAGCGATTCCGATGGCCCGACCTCATTACCGATGTCACTCGGTATTGCGACTCTTGCGAAGTTTGCTGACGCAGCAAGCCCCGCAACCGCAATCCCTACGGCGAGTTACACCCGATGCCTATCCCACGGGAACCAGGTCTCTCCATTGCCATGGACGTCACTGGTTCGTTTCCTCACGACCGGCTCGGGCACAACGACATCCTCACGGTTGTGGACCGATTGAGTAAGAACGCGCGCTTTCTCCCTTGCAAGCACTACTCCACGGCTCCCGAGATGGCACGCCTCCTGCACACTGGTTGGATTTGTGGCCACGGTGTACCAGAAGACATTGTCAGCAACCGCGATACTCGTTTCATGTCGGCGTTTTGGACTGCTCTCATGCAGGAGTTCAGCACAACAATGAAACCAGCTCAACATCCTCAGACAGACGGGCAGACGGAGCGGGCACATCAAACCGCTCAAATGATGCTTCGTACGCTCATCCGTCCGGACCAAAAAGATTGGGTTGACCGCCTCCCCGACATCAACTTCGCCTACAACACTTCGGTGCATCCGCCGATCGGCGTGACTCCATTCGAGTTGCACCACGGTGGACGGAAAGGCCRGATCTTCGCCGACCTTCTCCTCCCTCGACCAGCCGACCTTGACTCTGCCTGCTCTCCCGCTTCCGTCCGGAAGTACAGGGAATTGCTGACTCAAGCCCGCGCAAATATGCAAAAGGCTCAAATCCGCATGCAGCAGCAAGCCAAYAGGCGTCGCGTACCATGTCCCATCCGCGCCGGTGATCTGGTTTGGGTCCCCGCGGAAGAGTTTGCACWGGAACAGGATGTTTCACGCAAACTGCTTCCCAAGTGGTTTGGACCTTGGTCTGTGACAGCAGCCGCGGGCGATGAGCCCGATGACCCTTCATTTGTGATCAACATTCCTGAGCATCTGACGGTCCATCCGGTCTTCCACGCCTCGAAGATGGCAACATACACGCTAGCCAAGAGTCGGACTTTCCGGACCGATGATCGCAGGACCCTCCTTCTATGGATGGCCATTTGGAAGTTGACCGCGTCATCTCCGATCGCAAGTACGGCAGCAAGCCGCGGCAGTACAAAGTCACATTCAAAGCATGCGATCGTGACGACACTCGGTGGATTTCAGGCGCAGATTTGAAAGCATCCGCACCACTCATTTACGCGCATTATGAAAAGCGCAGGTTAGCTCAGGAAGCTTCACGACCAACCCCTCCCACCCGGATTGTGGTCCCTCCCTCAGAGTCTCAGACATACAGCTTCGCCCTCGCAGGTAAGCTCGGTTCTTCAAGGAGGGGGGGGTGTGGCATACTGCGTAGCCACACGGGCCCTGCAGGGCCCGTCTCGGACATTCAGCCTAAAAGCTTAAAACTTAGGGCTTACAGGCCCCAGTTGTTTCAACCTGAAAGCTGAAAAACGAGGGCCTGCAGGCCCTACCCTGTTTCAGCCTATTTCTGGGTCTTTTTAGACCCAGAGTTTTCAGCCTGAAACAGAGGGCCGTTTTCAGTCCCTCATTGTTTCGACCTGCCCCTAGGACTCAGGCACGTAAACAGGGATGCGGAACAGGCCAAGAATAGCCTGTTCCTCACGAGTTTGAGCAGGAGCTACAGCTGCAGCCCCTGCCTCCCTTCGGCAAGCTCAGGAGGCACACCCGGTAGTACATAGGAAGTTCCCATGCACTTCACGGGTAGGTAGTTCAGTAGGCACGAGGTAGTCTTCAGGATTCGGCTGCATCACTCAGGAGGAGCGCTGCAGCAGTCTCCAGCGCTAAGTAGTAGCAGCGCTAGATGTAGTCTTCGGCGCTGGGCGCCATAGCTGTAGCTGTAGTCTTCACCGCTGGGCGCTGGTAGGTGGTAGAGCGTAGAGTGGTAGAGAGACTGGCGGAGGCCAGTGTTACTTACCTGTGGTGCCATCGCTTCAGCTCCATCTTCGTGCTACCTGCATCAAGGCGCCAACTTCACAGGTACGTACTGGACACAAAGAGAGAGAGAGAGTTTTTCTTCTTCCTCTTCTAAGTCCACCTTCTCTTCTCACCCTCTCGCCACCTGACTTCTCAGACTACGACAGAGAGAGACAGAGTTGTGACTTAAGACTTGACGACATTGGATCCAGACTTGACATTTGGGATTCAGACATTTCAACGAGGGACTATTTGGGCTTGTGCCGAAGACTTGGTGTTGACGACATTCCCATCTTCCCCCTCCTCTT